GCGACTGACGACTGATGGTCAAGGCATCCTTCAATCGTCATGGGAATTTTGGCGGGATCCTTTTTGGGCTCGAAAGGTATCCTCGTCCTGGGTATAAGGGTAAAATCTTTCGGGATAAAAGATTTCTCCAAGGTTGGTAACAGCTGAGCCAGAGGAGATGCTGGCTGTTGGCAGTTGCTGTAATGACCGCAAAACATCTTGGAACATTCGTCTCGAAGCAGCTAGTTGACGTCCATGGGTGACGAATTCTCGTCGTATCAGAGGCTGATCAGGAATCTCGTGTAATGAATTTCGTGGTCTCCCAACGTCAAACTTCTAGGTGCTATCGACAATTTGTAGCATTCCTACTTATCTTCTCTTCGTTCCTGGGCTACCCAGCTACCATCGAGTCAGTCAAACAGTCCTTGGTTTGTCCATGTTTGGCCATTTGGCTGCATGGCTGCATCCCCCTGGGTGTCTGATTCCTTGATGCGTGTTGTCTGCCGGTGCTCGGTGTGTGTGCATTGTTTTGTGTGGGTTCGTTGATACATGTGAAAAAAAATATATCCAGTAGATATCTATTTTCAATGGAATATAATATAGTCCCTTCATAAGCCTATATATCAGTAAATGAAGTTGAAAGTTAAATGTATATGTATTCGTATGAAATCTATGAGAATCATATTTCATATTGTATCAATAAATGATTAACCTATGCTGGTATCCGCTGTATATCTGATTTGAACTTATTAGATTTCTTAATAATTATTTTATTTGTTTAGTGAAACATTCATACTTTCTTATGATTTCGAATATAGTAACTACGCGGTACTAGAACTGATCTAATTTTTACCCTAATAACTATATTATTCAAAGAAAAAAAATAATATCTATAATAATATTTTTTGAAACTATTTTTATCATAACTGGTTGATTTTCATAATAGTCTATGTATTTATACGTGCTTTATTCATGCGTAATTATTATCATAATTTTTCCAAATGAAGATTCATCGAAAACAAATTCCTAACAATGTATACCTATATATGAAATTACACTCGAGGTTCAAGTTCATGACTATTTACATTAGCGAGTTTGTCAAAATGCCTGTTATATAATTTTATTACGACTATAGTAACCTAGTAGGTAAGCAATATTAGAATATGAAATTGCTAAGCAGTTTCCGTTCATATTAGGGAAATTTGATGATCGAAACTATTTTCTTTAGAAATAAAAAACTGAATCATGGAAAGTAGTTTCTCAATAGAAAATTTTTAAGATTGATTGGAAAACAAGAAGATGAATTTGAGTTACCCACCTACTTGTATAATTCGTATGTGTGCGAAATTATGAAAAATTGTCCGATAGGTTTCCATTCGATTTAAAATCTCAAGGATTTGAATGCTTTTTCTGTGATTAGTAATCTTTCTCGAACACGAGATTTCAATGTATTGCCAATATTGCCAATTAAGAATTATTCATATATCAACAGGTGAATTGAAAAAAATGATTAAAAAAAGAATAATCAGAGTCATGTTAAAAAACCAACGTGCCTTTTCGTTCAAAAATTTTAATAAAAAAAAAATAACCTATCTGATAAATATATAATGGAAATTGTTACCATGTTATTTCATACTCACATATTGATCATTTTTGACATTCCAGGTCCAATCCGTAAGATTTAAAAGGATATTCATCTGACAACTCATTATTGGCAGCTTGAATAAACTGATGAACCGTCCGAGAATTGGTACTTTCATGTACTTTGAGCAATATTTTGACTCAAGGTACCTTGAGATTATTTTTTGTTTAATATGAAATATTATCAGAACTTTATTAGATTTATTTATTTATCTTTGGTGTAACCGGTTACACAATGAATTGGCGTTTATTCAATTAAAAAAAATATATATTAATTTCCCTATTCACGATGTTTCGATGAATTCAAGTAGTAAGATAGTTTATTATACATTATTGAACTGATTGAAAATACTCCTTTAAAATACCGCATGCTCATTCCTCCAATTTTTTTGTTAGAACTAGACCGTACATTTCTTTGTCTAACAACTCGCAAATATTTTCCATTTTCGGAAAAATCATCCCCGGGGGTAAATATCATATATCATAAACGAGCTCATTATTTCACATTAAATCATCATTTCATGTCCTATCAATTCGAGGACAAAATATCTTCAGTAAGGTTAATCCTTCATGCCTTAGTGTGGCACATCTTCCAGGATTCCCTCCTATTTACTGTTATAGTGCACACGTTCAACTATAACACTTCGTACTTTTTAGAATATCAACCAAACAGCTACTTCTCTGGATGTGGTTTGGCTAGGACCACGAGATATGCTGAATAGGGTGATGATTATTCTGTACGGAAACGGTTTCCACTTGAAACCAAGTAACAATCTCTTCATTGAGAGTTTACATTCACTTCATTATTCTTGAGCTCAATTAATTCATTTCATATCATATTTCCATAACATAATAATATCATATTTGCGTATAATTCATTTCAGGAGGAATGACAAAAAATGGTTAACGATACCAACGTTTAAGAGTATTTTCAATATTTGAAAGGTCATATATATACTGACTAAGATATTTTAATCGAAACATTCTCAACTATCACTCGAATTATTAATTATTTGCATTCGTACTAATATTGAAATTTTTTATGAATTATATCGAGCACGATGATTTGTTATTATTGTTTTCATTTCGTATTGTTATAAAACTATAGGCACGTTGTGAATGACTTATTATATTCTCAATTGAGTGTTCATGGCATTGGCATTGCATTTCTTGAATGATTTTATCAACAAAAAATAAAAATATTTGAAATCATCTTGATATGAGAAATAAAAAACTGGCAAGAATGAGATATAGGAAAAACTTGTTCCCAAATTCAAATAGAAAATTACGAGTAGAGAAAAGAAAAAAAATAACTAAGTTCAGAGATAAGCTCCAAACTTTGTGAGTCTGGTCCGGTGCTTTATATCATGTCTTTGAATAGAAATGGAATGATTGTTATTCAACTTTTCAAGCTTAATGGTATTTAAAATATTGAAAAAATTTTGGATTTCTAATTTAAATGACTTTCTTACTTTGTTATCACCCATAATTCATGCTGCTATACTTAATTACTTTCAAATAACCCTTTCTAGTAGTGCCTTTGTATGAAATATAAAATTGACATAAATCGATGAATGCAAAAAAAAATTGATGAGTCCATTATGAGGAATGAGACTCAAGGAGAGAAGCTTAGGCGCCTCCACCATGTCACAATAAAATGGTTTGCGCCACCATGTCACGATATAGTAGGTGGTTAGACCATCCATATCGATTTGAAAGGGGTTAATGCTTGGCTTAATATTTTGCGAGAGGTAATATTCAAATAGGCACTAATAGTTTAGGGGTATCTGGAAGTATGAGATTATATTCAAACATAACAATATGTATTGTAGCATGAAACATTATGGGAAAAGTGATTATAAATATGAATAAACAACAATGAATATAAAGACCTAATAACAACTTACATTATAATGACCATTACGACGAGCTCTTGGTCAAGTCAAGAGTAGCCCCAGACCAGACTAACTTCGGAACCCTCATATCCAATATTTATATACATCATTTTATTAGATTTGCACGTTTCTCATGAGAGTTCCTTGGTCAGTTTTCATAGTTCAATGTCGATTGATGATTTGAATAATTTTATGTTTATAAAACCCTCATGGTTACAAATTACTAATATACTGAATGTTCTACTCGTGACAATAGTCGACATATGATTCCTCGGACGGCTTATAACGACCTGTCTCAAGTAGACTGCGCACTTCCAGCTGGCGAGCATCCCCCCAGAAATATGATAAAAAAGACCGTTTCATTTCTTCAAAACTCGAAAAGTTATAAAGCATAGCATCCGCCCAGATTCTGGCTTTTTTCCTAAAAAGTGCATGGCACCAATGTGGTACTTGATTAAAAGGAATTCTGAAATTTATTAAGGAATATTCCAGCTTTTCCATGAACAATACTGGATGGATGCCTTCATTGTCAAAGTAGGGTAGGACTTTAGTTGCTTCAAGATTTGCATACACAGATAAGTTCTGAAACTGATTTCCCCCTCCACCCTGAGTATTTGGATAATTTTCCCTCACATAATTTGTACTTACTTGGGGTCCTATAGCACCAGTGTTAGGATTAAGACAAGAAGGACCTAACTTACTGGGAGGGTTATTTCCATAAACATTTTCATAAGGATGAGTGGCATTTTCATTACACTGCGAGCAAACATTTTGTTGATAAGGGTCATGGTATAAAGTAGGTGTAGGCCTTGTAACTGGACTATCACCTCTTTTCTGCCCCCGTGGCCCTATACCACTACCATAAATGTGGTTACCCCTGATCTCATGTTGACGGCCATTTTGTAATTGACCATGACCAGGGAGTACACAATCACTTTGATTTTGTTGCATGAAACCCTGATTGCTTACTAATTTTTGATGCCCCTGTACATAAGTTGAACCATCAATAATATTTGGGTTTCCGCATAATTTTTGATGCCCCTGTACATGAGTAAAATTTTCATCAACATTTGGGTTTCCCTGTACATAAGTTAAATCATCATAAACCTTTTGGTTTCCCTGTACATAAGTAAAATCATCATAAACCTTTGGGTTTGCCTGTACATAAGTTAAATCATCATAAACCTTTTGGTTTCCCTGTACATGAGTAAAATCATCATAAACCTTTGGGTTTGCCTGTACATAAGTTAAATCATCATAAACCTTTGGATTTCCCTGTACATAAGTTGAACCATCAATAATATTTGGGTTTCTGCATAATTTTTGATGCCCTTGTACATAAGTAGAATTTTCCTCAACATTTGGGTTTCCCTGTACATAAGTAAAATCATCATAAACCTTTTGGTTTCCCTGTACATAAGTTAAATTTTCTGTATTCTCTACAAAAGATAATTTTTTTGGTATATTCTGGTTCTCTCTAATCACCTTATTTTGTAAAACATTCACATTTTGCTTATGCCCTAGTCCTGTGGAATATACAGCATTTTTTACTCTACTTTTAGCTAAATTAGGGGGATTCTGTCCTAATGATACATCTGATATTTTAGGTTTGGCACCACCAAACCCTTTGTTGTTTATCCTATCAACATTTTCACTGCCTCCACTTGCAGAATCCTTGCCATGTGGCCCCCTATCAACACTCCTGTGACCAGATTTACTGATCTCATCTGGTAACTGCTCCAAAGCTGATGCTGCCTCAGGATCACTTAACCTAATCATACCTTGTAGCAAGTTCTCATCACCTTCTGCATATAACACAGGTGGGCTTCTATCCTCAGAAGTCTTGCCAGGGCTCCTTGCAGTTGGCGTTGTTGACAATCTGCCTCTGCCTCTAGCTCTCGTTTGATACGTGTGTGGAGCTGCTGGAGTAGGTGTATGAATAACCATGTTTCTCGTAGTGTGTTTAATAGCCTGGAAAACACTCGCAGGCCTACGGTTTTACGTTGGTGCGCCAAGATGAGACAATACGCGGTCTCGCCGCTCTCAGGGGTACTTTTGAAAAGGACAGGATTATTCAATACACCTTATTTATGGTTTTCACCTTTCCAAAATCTTTATTTCACAAAAAACTAAAAGAGACAAAAAACCACAATGAGAAAATGATCCAAAACTCACGCGGTGGAGCGGATGAGGTTAGAAAAACATCATCAACAATATATTATAAAAACTTACCTAAAAGTGCAGACCGCACTATCAAAAGACGATTCGATAGTATCAAAGCCAGGAAGCACTCCTGTTTTTGATCAAGAAAGAGTTTTTGAAAAATGTTAACCCTTTTTCCTACAAAGTAAAATGTGGAAGAAGGTGCCAAAATCTGACAAAAGTCGACAATTGACAAACTGACATATCCATTGGTGACTATTGACGGGTATAGTAACTAGCGACACGCATAAACAGCATAAACTCACCACACTGTGTCTAGATGCCCGCGCGTCGGCAATCTACTTTGTTACATAGGTATTTGTTTTGTTTATTTCAAATATATATATTTTTTTTAGTAGGCATACTAGTACTTCTTTTATATAATTCTGAAATCTGATCCACCCTGTATATTTGTTTCAATTAGATGGCATCAGTAGATAGTAAATAGAATGTTAGGATAGGGACACATGTAAGTCATTTTGACAAATCAATATAGGTATTGTATAGTTTTGGATACAAAAAAAAATCTCGATTTTTCACATTCTACGTATAGGTATACCTTGAGCTTGATCAACGAAATCATAGCTCAATTAGAAGAATCGAAAAATGTAATAAAATATAAGGTGTTCCATTTTGAATAACAAAGCTGCTACTACTACTAACTACTAATAATAATTTCTAGTGAAGCAGATGAACATTATCGAAAATAATTTGAATAAAACGAGCGTCCTCGCCAACGAAACATAAGCATATAATATGTACATATAGTTTCATGATTTTCGATGAGTGGTTCGCTATTTACATGTAGGACTCGTCGTGACATAGCGAATTATTGCAAATCAAATCATCACTTTCATTATCTGATAGGTCGCAGTAGATCACTTACCTATTGATGCCTATCAAATGTTTCTTATTTATCAGAATGAAAAATGTTGAAATGTGATCAAGAAAACTGTTGGTGGCCCACCCCGTACTGCAAAAACAGAGACAGCATTGTATTGTATCATAGCTGCCTGCTCACGTCTCGGTCTCCCCACCGCGTAGGTAACGATCGGGCGTGTTCGGTGAACACACGGGTATGATCTCGAGACTCTAGTGTGGTTAATGGATTGACCTCCTTTTAGCGGAAACCTTGTATAATAACAAATTTCATGTGTTTACCTTTCTTTGTCAGATAGTATATTTAGATCACTATAATTATATCACAATAATTACTATCATCATTGTCAATTCTCAGTACCTTATGAAGATGTCTTCCTTCTTTATTTCAACATCATCCACGGCGTCCAATGAAAATTCGTTGTATTCGATTTCAATCTTGAACTTATCATCAGTGTTATTGGTTTTGAAATGGTCTTCTTCTGATGCGAAAGAATCACCACCATATTCACCAACCTCACATGTGGATGGTCTTCCACTATTGGAGTGTCGAATTAGATGGCCTTTTATCAAGACATTTTCATCATCACAAGTATGACTTTCAACTGGTACTTTACCAGGTTCTACCTCAAGGCATTTATTCGTTTCACACTCAGAGGGTGTCACACTATTGTGGGCCATAAGGTGTTTATTAATAATTTCTTTTTGCCTCAACTTCTCATGGATGATGTCGCACCCGAAGGGATTCTCACCAGTGTGAACCATGAGGTGCTTTTTTGATACCATTTTTTGACCAAATTCACTGTGGCAAATACCACACTCAAAGGGTTCCTCCACATTATGCACATCGAGGTGTTCATTCAAAGTCCGTTTCAGTCTGAACTTCTTGGGACAAATGTCGCACTCAGAGGGATTTTCGCCAGTGTGCACTCTGAGATGTACCTTCAAACCTTCTTTTCCTTTATACTCCTTTTGGCATATTTCGCACTTGAAGGGTTTTTCATCAGTGTGCTTCATAATATGTCTTTTCATATGATCTTTTCGACCAAATTTTCTTTGGCAAATATCGCACTCGAAGGATTTTTCGCCAGTGTGCACAATGAGGTGTACATTCAAATTTCCTCTATGCCTAAACTTCTTAGGGCAAATGTCGCACTTGAAGGGTTTCTCATCAGTGTGAATCATGAGGTGTTTTTTCAAAACATGTTTTCGACCAAATTTTGCGTGGCAAATACCACACTCGAAGGCGTTTTCCTCATGATGCACCTTGAGGTGTTCATTCAAACTTCTTTTCAGTATGAACTTCTCAGGGCAGATGTCGCACTTGAAGGGTTTTTCGCCAGTGTGAATCCTAAGGTGTCTCGTCAAAACATCTTTTTTATAAAAAAATTTATGGCAAATACCACACTCGAAAGGTTCTTCCCCACTATGCATCTTGAGGTGTTCATTCAAATTTCCTTTATTCCCTAAATTCTTGTGGGAAATATCGCACTCAAATGGTATCTCACCGGTGTGCAGAGACTCATTATGACAAATTTCGCACTCGAGGGGTTTTTCATAAGTGTGCATCATAAGGTGTCTTTTCAAATTACCTTTTCGAGCCAATTCTGTGTGACAAATACCGCACTCGAAGGGTTTTTTCCCATTATGCGCGTTGAGGTGTTGATTCAATCTACTCTTCAGTATAAACTCCTTAGGGCAAATGTCGCACTTGAAGGGTTTGTCGCCAGTGTGCATCTTGAGGTGGTAATTCAAACTTTTTCTCAGCCAATACTTCTTATGGCAAATGTCGCACTGGAAGGGTTTCTCAGCAGAGTGCGTCACCAGGTGTCTTTTCAAATCCCCTTTTCGACCAAATTTCGTGTGGCAAATACCACACTCAAAGGGTTTTTCCCCATTATGAGCGATGAGGTGTTCAGTCAATCTTTTCTTCAGTATGAACTTCTTAGGGCAAAAGTCGCACTTGAAGGGTTTTTCGCCAGTGTGCATCTTGAGGTGGAAATTCAAACTTTTTCTCAGCCAAAACTTCTTATGGCAAATGTCACACTTGAAGCGTTTCTCATCAGTATGCACCACAATGTGATTTGTCAAATTATCTTTTCGACCAAATTTTTTGTGGCAAATACCACACTCGAAGGGTTTTTCCCCATTATGAGTGTTGAGGTGTTCAGTCAATCTTTTCTTCAGTATGAACTTCTTAGGGCAAATGTCGCACTTGAAGGGTTTTTCGCTAGTGTGCACCATGAGGTGGTAATTCAAACCTCTTCCCTTCCCAAACTTCTTATGGCAGATGTAGCACTCGAAGGGTTTTTCGCCAGTGTGCATCTTAAGGTTTACTTCCAAACTTTTTTCGCAAATGTGACACGCGAAACTCTTTTCGCAAGATGGTCTTTCAAATCCTTCTTTGACCAATATTTCTGGTGGCAAATATGACATTCGAATGTTTCTCGTTAGGGTGCAACTTTTCGCTTGAATTCTGCATTGCAAATGTCCTGCTCCTATGGAATTTCTGTAGGTACTTATTTTATAGGTTCGATCTACTACTGATGTGATCAATTTCCGAAAAATCAGCCATCGCGCTTCTACCTGCAAAGATAAAAAATGTACTCATGTGAGCATTAATGATATACCAATCGTCCATTGAATGTGTCAATCAAGACGTGTACCAAGTATGATAGGCTAGAACACTACTCAGAGTCGGAACTAGGATTCTAGCCGTTACCACCAATACAACAAAAGGCCAGCAGACTCTGACGTAAACAGCTCGTGACGTCGCCAAGAGAGGCCAGTGTTTTATTTTATCGCTTGTCGACTAACGCGTCAGTTCGTGTTAATTTATCGGTGATTCACGTATGTTTTTGAAACGGTCCCGAATTCTTGTGTTGTTTATTCATCAAAATAATTGGCGGAAAAATTACTGTTTTGTGAAATATTTTGTGTTGTGATCGGCGAAATAACAATGCCTTTCAAGTGTTGTGTTCCCTTTTGTCGGGGGAATTATGTGGGTGGTTCAAAAGTTCATGCTTTTAGTTTCCCGTTGGACGAGGAGCTATCGAAAATGTGGGTAAGTATATGCAATTCACCGCGAGGATTTTACTCCATCTAAGTATCTAAGTTCAGTAGTAAACAGAGCTTAAGTTATAATGATGAATTAATAATAGAAGACACTTACTCTCTCATAAAAAGTATAAGTAGAGGAAAAATAGAAAAGCTTTGATTGTGCAGTTAGTTTTGTATTCGTATATTATAATCATCTCTGAATTCGAGGAAATTTTCTTGAATGTTCATAATAAACGGGCATTTTTAATTCTCATTCTCAAATTTCTTTCTGAAAACGGTCATTTGCCTCGTGGCAATGAATGCAGAATTCATTCCAATGATCAAATTGCAACTATCATATTAACATGAACTACAAACACTCTACTTAAAAAGGTAAAACTGCATTTATCATGATATTTATCATGAAGATATTTGACTAAGAAGTTCCAAATTTCACCTTCTTTTTCACCTGTCTTCTGGATGGCATTTAGAACCATTTTCCCTTCTTTTTTCATCATATTGGACAATTTATATATAATTCAACTATAAGTATGATTTTCTTGAGATTAATCCATATTTAGTGAATATTTAAAGACGAAAATATGGTTTCAAAAAAGTGTCCTGAACTGACTCAATGATGTACAATGTATATCTACGTTGCTGCAATATTTATTAAAATTATCACTCAATCTACTGAGAGTTCAGTCCCAAATTGGTATGCCGAAAATTGACATTCAAAAATATCAAGTCTTGTGGGTCTATATAGACGGTACATGGAATGATATGAAAGATAACAACATAGATGAACTAAAATGATTCCTCATTATTTGATAGATGAATAACAAATCAGATATAATCCTACGTTGCTCCAAGGTAATAAGTCAAAAACTGCGTCTGGTTTGGTCAATACTCTCTACAACAAATGAATTGTTCACTCTGAAGTTCAGAAATCTCACAAAATTATTTTGAACTCTCTCCAATCGAACTTTGTGGTATTGTGGTTGGTATAATAAGGACTCCAAATGACACTTGCAAAACATAATCCGCTATTTACGTAGGCATAATACAATGTTTTGATTGAATTTTGAGACCGAAAGTATTTACAAGTTCTTTTAATAAAACCTAACATTCTATTGCATTTGTTAGTAACATAATCAATATGCATTGCAAAACTCAATTTGGAATCGACTCCAAGGTCCTTAATATGAGATACTTTTTCCAAATGGGAACCATTCAAATTGTAATCGAATGTAACAGGGTTCTGATTCCTAGCAAAGCTTATACTGCAACATTTCCTTGAGTTCAAAAATAATCTTTTCTACAAAATTCTCAAACACACGACATGTTTCGCTAACATAGTAGCTTCATCAGGTGATATACTGGTACAATGAACTAAACTAACATTGGCTTGCTTAACTTTTATATATCCTACTTTCCCAACCTGAAGGATTAGTTACCTGTGGACAGGTACGATAAACCTCCATTTTCGGAAATTAGGCACAATATCTACATTGAAATACGGTGTACCGGATTAACTTGAAATACATATTATTACTTACTGAGAAAACAAATTCAACAGTGGTGAACTATTGAGGTATAATTGATCATTAAGTAAAATGTCAACATTTTTGTGTTTGTTGATTTCTAATGATTCAAAATTCATTCCTTTATTTTCTACGTGCAGAATTTCGAAATTATCATCAAAACTATGGTTTTCTTCTAATATATGGTTGGCGTATGTTGAATTTGTTTTCTTTATCATAAAATTCATCTTATGTTCATGAATGCGCTGATTAAACGTACGACCTGTCTGACCGATATATATATACCTTAGGACAAGATCCACAGTTGAGTTTGTATACCCCTGATTTTTCGAATTTAGGAGTTTTGTCTTCATTATTCTTGATAAACCGTCCCAACTTCTTGAATAGCTTTATGATGAAGTTTTTTAGAAAGAATACTGTCTATAAAATTAACGTTGTATCCGTTGTTGACTGCAATCTGTTTTATGATATTGAGTTCTTTATTGAAATTTTGTGGAAATCTTATCGTTTGTGAAGTTTTTACATTTGAGTCAATTCAAAATTTTCATACAATCGTCCAACGACATAACTCCTGTGAAGTTTCAGGTCATCAGCATACAATAAGAATTTAGAATCATGGAAGCATTGATCGATGTCATTGATGAAAATAATGAATAAGAAAGGTCCAAGATTTGACCCTTGGGGCACCCCCGAGGTAACTATAATTGGGTTAGAATCGAATCCATTAATACTTATGATCTGGGACCTATTGAATATGTAAGATGAGAACCATCGTAATATATCACCATGCATACCAATTTCAGCAAGTTTCATCAACAAAATATTATGATCAATCTTGTCAAAAGCCTTGCTGAAATCTGTATAGATAGAGTCAGATTGAATACGATTATCGAGTGAATCTGATATAAACTGATTATAAATCATAAAATTTGTTTCTATGGATCTTTTAGAAAAGAATCCACTTTTACCCTCTTCATCATGTAGTGAATATACGCGTGATTTAGTCTTCGTGACTTGGCTTTCTGGGTTTCGTTTTCTATGACGGCAAACGCTGTTTTCTGTAACCAATGAACATAAGAGTGCTTTTTGACGATCACTGTCAGCAAGTCCCCAATATTCTTGATGCAAAATTTGCTGTCTCTCCATTGGTACTTTATCAGAACATTTGAATCGGCACTTTGAACAATCAATATATCGTGTTTTTTTTTCTGGCATAACGATATTTTTCCTGGTTTGATAACTCTTACCAGAAACTCTTTTAATTTTCTTATTCTTATTTTAATATTCTGTGTTTTCGATAACTTGTATATCGGATGTTACTGCATCCAATATTAATGTTTGTTGAATCTCAGGCAACTCAAAAATATACTCTTGAATTTCTTCGCAATGAACAACAGCAACACCACAGGAAGGATTTGTCTCAATTAAATCTTGAACTGAATCTGTGAAAAATACGGAACTTGTTGGTCATAGAAGATTGTATTTTGATATTTTGGAACATACCAAACGGAATAATCAAACGATCTTGATCAGAAGTTAGTATATTAAACGAATTGCTGACATCGGTGGACTTCGTGCCAATCTGCGATATATTCTGTGGATCTGGAAATACAATCAGTAATTCAATTATTTTTCGTGCGACTACATGAATATAAAAAAAATATGTCACACCACTGGACTGTACGTAAAAAAACCCATGAATATGAGTTTTCACTTGTTTGACTGTTAGTAATGAATTCATTTTAGTGCCCAATTGCCAAAAATGGGACACACTGTACAGTGATTAACATGAAACTGACTGTATTATAAATAATAATAAGGACAAATGAAATATAGAATAAATATTATTTTTCAATTTGAGTATTCTTACCAGTTGTAATTTCTCCAGGACTTGATGTTGTTTCACTAATATTTTGCTTTTTTGCGAGGTCGACCATCATTTTACCACGTGCAGACATATTTGCAACAAAAATAATATCACTTTCATGAGCAATAAACACACACGAAAGTGTCTTACACAGAACTGATGAAACTGAATGAAAACATGCAGAGCATGCAAATATTGCAAGTCCATACAAGTCCAACACAGCTGATTATAAGTACGCAGCAATAGGGTGCACATTTATGTTATATCTTAGTCCGAACATACAACTTTTGGGCATGTGTTGATAGTTCTATGAAGTTAAAAATATTGTATGTCCGGACTTACTATATTTGTGCTTCGAACTGCGAAAAATTATGACATACTACAAGTGTGCATAGGCATACCCTACTAACCTATGGATATACTATATTTTCAATATGTTGATAACCCTTACTTCTCGTTATTCGGGACATACGATATATGCACAGACTTTAGATCTCGCTTACTACGTTCAAAATATCACTTTACCCTAATATTGGTAAATAGTGGACATACAATATCTGTGCTTTAAAGCTGTTCCACACCGTCTCATGACAACTGAATTCCGCCAGATGGCGATTGTATAGACAATATGAATAATAACATTTTGAAGTGTTAAGCTCCTCCCACCTTCCCACAATCGGCAACAGAGGTACAACTGACCCTCCGAAAAGGTGATGTCAGGTATAGAAACTGATTTGCATAATCAAAGCGATAATTTCTAAATTTATTATTTATTCTAGTCTGCAAAACCAGATACTTTGGCTAAGCCTGAGAACTTTCATATTATCGATTCAGGTATACAGGGTTTTTTTCAGAAAATATAGTCTCATTCATTGGCATTTCATATTATTTTAATTCAATTAATAAAAATGTTATAATAGGGGTATTAATAAGTAATTATTATGTATGTACATTCTGATATTTTCATTTCGTTTCTCGTTGAGTAA